TTTTTTAGTTGTCGATTAACGATAAACCGTTGCAAAGTATTTTTATTTAAGATTTATCAGAATATAATTAATAACAGTATTTACATTGAATTGTTATAATTGCAGCACCGGGTACGTTGGAAATGCAAGGATCGAAAATCACAAAGACCCAGTATGGATACAGAACCTTGCATGACACATCTGCCAAGATGTCTCTGAAAGTGACCGGATATCCTCTGCCTGTGATAACATGGTCAGTCACTGTGTGCAGCATGTCGAAGTGCTGATAAAGACGCACTTAAGGTTCAAAGACGGTCAGCTGCTTGAAGAAGATGAACGGCACAAATTTTATTCTGACGAGGACGGATTCTTTGCGATGACCATCGATCCGGTCCTAGAAAGCGACACTGGACGTTACACCTGTGTTGCGACCAATGAGTACGGACAAGCGACCACTTCGGCGTTTTTCAGGGTTGTGAGAGGTAAATTTGAAATGAGTGAATCGAAATCAGTGACAAATGATTTTAGCCGAACGCGATCCGGAGCCACCACGCTTTCTGACTAAGTTGCAGGATCTCGAGGTCAAAGAAGGTGAATCGATAAGCGTTCATTGCGAAGTGGAAGGATGGCCAGAGCCTAATATTGAGATTTACTTTGGTGGACAGTTGATTCTTCCGTCACATGACCTTAACGTCGAATACGACGGCAGGAACGTAACGCTGACCATTAAAAACGTACAGATGCAAGACGCAGGAGAATATGTCATCAAGCTTAAGAACTCCTCAGGAGAGGTGGAACATGCGGTGAGGATCAATATTGAGGAGAATCCTGATTTGCGGAAATCTGAGCCCAAATTTCAATTGGTCATCGAAAACGCGACTGTTACCGAAGAGGACGATGTCAGGTTCAAAGTTATTTGTACGGGCGATCCGGAGCCGGATGTGTCCTGGTTTTCAAATGGCACGTTGCTGACGAACTCAGAAAAGGTTAACATTCATGGAGAAGATGGAATCTATTACTTGGACATTAAAAACGTCTCTTCTCACTTTGACGGCGAGATCAGCTGTGCCGCAATCAACAGGTACTAATGTTACCGTTTCTTCCTATTTGTTTAGCACTAAAAAAACGCACAGTATTAAAGTGCATGAGATAAAGGTTAAATGCAGAAGAATGACCTGAATTTCATCCTTCTGGCTATCTTTACGAGGTTGCCTTAAGCTTGAGTTAGCATCTATGGCCTCGCAATATGAGGACATGTTTAAATATATCTTTTTCTGTTATGCATCCATGATATCAGTGGTTAAAAATCAAGTTTTAAATCCAGCCAGTGGACATTAAAATGGAAATAGGTAACAAGTACATGTTCAGTGAAGGAGACAATGCTTAAAATCGTAGATGAATTGCATAAGCATGCCTTCTTTACTATGCCAGCCAGTTTTTCCTTATGTACTTTGGATATAATTCTTCAAGTTCTCGACTGCTCATTTTTCGTGATCAACAGTGATTAACACTGCACGGTCTGAATTGCCATGATTGTCTCGGTTGCCATAAGCTTTCATAGGTCACTTTTAGGGTACAAACCTACCTATCTCAGCTGAAGGTTCCAATCCGTCATTGTTGTAGTCCATCGGTCATCCGTCGATTGTGCCATGTGGTCTATCAGTTGTGTTTTTTCTTCTGAAAGTTATGCAACGTGCTGCATTCCCCAGCATCTCCTTATTTCTTCATTTCGAAGTTTGTCCCTCATGAAAATTCCTAGCATTCTTCTTTCGACAAGCCACTTCTACACTCTTAAGAGATTTCGTAATTTTTCGTTAATGCCCTAATGTCGCAACGATGCAATGTGGTTTTAACCGCAGTTGATACTTCCCTGCTTTCTCGAAGTGCGGCGTTCCTTCTGTACATTCTTTCCACCGAAAGACACATTTCTGGAAGCTATAATCCAAAGGGGTGATCCAAGACGATCAGCTGTCGCAAGTAGATAGACTCTGCAAATTCTGGTATATTTGATAACCTCCTGTTTTTTTGCTCTTTTTCGATTAAAGCGATGACCATTTACTGCTGTAAACGCAATCATAAAGTACATACTCAACATCGAGACTTATATTTGACATAAAGGATTTTAAAAAATGAAGCATCTAATCCCTGCTTCAATAATAACAGTGAAAAACAACAGTATCAACCGGATTTAATAATACCAAACAGTGAGTCCATTAGGCGAAACACTGCTACGGATGTATCTCATGGGCTTTCTTTCTGTCCCCGGTTCACGCTTTCTCAACAGCTAGTCCGTTTCTGGCTGTAAGGCGCTACAGTTTTGAGGACGGAACAACAATCTGAGACCATGTGTCCCAGGAAAATATGGAAGCTGCTACATGACGGTTACCTGTTTAGTGGAAGAGTAGTGGTGTTAGTGATCATATCAGTATTACAGAAGGTACGAGAACAACGCGAATCATTTATATAAGATGTTAGTTCACCTTGTTAAGGAATTCTACCACTCTGTCCTTCCATTAAACTAACCTAAAAACAGGTAATATAACGATGATTTTCTAGAAGTCGCTATTGTCGTGTGAAAGCTAATGAAACTTGTGGCAATGAAACATCATTAATGGAATTTAAGTGGCAGCCTCACATATCGATCTTTCCTGAAAGCTGAATTTTCGGTAGCCGAATGTAAAATTCGTAAAAATGAACAATATCCTACCAGTCACTTGATATTGTTCGCTATTTTCATTGTATGAATGTGCACAACAGAGAATGAAACAGTGTGTGACGTCTGAAAGTAAAGAGGATTTTGGTTTGAATAATCGATGCGGTGGGATATAGCAAAAATTCCAAGTGAAAATAAATCAGATTTCACTCTCGTTTAAAGAGACTCAAATCCTTCGAAAGTTAGTAGGCTCTGGTGCTTATATCACGTGTTTTATAACGTATGCAATATTCCTAGTCGCTGAATTGACCCTTCTCTTATTGTACAAGTAAGTTTGCTACTAACCTTTGGTATTGTTGTTGAAATGGCACATTTTAATCGGCTCTAGTGTTTATTCCGGCAGTCAGTAGCTGTCTTACAGTTGATTTGATGAACTTTTAAGAGCTACTTGAAATTGTCGATTTAGAATCGGCGAATGTCGCTGCACAGCACATCTTCAAGTTGTGAAACAGAACTGCGCACCAACCTTCGAATTGGAAGTGTGCGACCAAGCTGTGGCCGTGGGGGACACAGCCAAGTTTCAGGTATACATCGATGCAAAACCGGAGCCTGCTGTCACGTGGACTTTAAACGGAAAACCTGCCAACGATGTACCGGACGTGGAGATTTCGTCCAAAGTTGCCGCCGGATGCTATACGTTGGAAATTCATAACGCCTCCGTCGAACAGAGTGGCGAGATTGTATGTACAGCAAGCAATGAACTGGGAGAGGCTGCCTCAAGTGGCCGACTCCTGGTCAGACCTGGCCGTATGGCCCCCTTGTTCAAAGAAAAACTGCACGACACTTGTGTCAGCCTTGGAGATGCCGTTTCGTTGCAGGTAATGTATGATGCATATACTATATATGTAAATGATGATGATGCATTTTTCAAACATTCGTCAGTCATTCTCGTTCTTCGTCGATTGTCGGGCGCAATCCATGTTGACCTCTTATTGACCTTCTTGAACCAGGTGTCTCCACAACAGGTGATTTGTTTCCATGCCAGCCGATTTCTTGGCTCATTCTGCTCTCCCGACGAACCTTTCACTGACGTGTCGTCGTCCATCTTTGACACCGACTTCTCCCATGACGAGGGTACAAATGGACTTTCCAATCAGCATTTGTTACAGCTTTTGATAGGAGTCTTCCACTTCCTCCTCTTGGGCCATACTTGTGGGAGCAAGGTTTTCTTCTTGTTCACTGGAGTCACAGCACGCCTAATTTTGGTAATTTCACATGCCAGGAGACGATTTTGGAAGACCGATTTTAGCTGACAAAAAAAATCAGTTTATCCAATGCTCATCGCACCATTTCCCATTTCTGGCAAAATCCAACTAGCGTCTTTCCAAACATCATTCATCTCTTTCCTCCATCGTATGTCGCAGAGGCCAAGGATATCTTACGCCATCCGTGAGTGCAAACGGTGAAAAAAATCCGGCCCCTTTTTCTAGGTAGCTGCATTGCACCTGGGATTGTTAACAGCCCCTCGGAGGTCGAACATTCAACCTCCGTCGTGCAACGGATCGAGAGACACGCAAGATACTGAAACTCACTAATTCGTGTTGTTCTAGAGCATGAAG